AAGAATCGAAAGGGATGAATCCATAACCATGCATTCATATTCGGTAACTTTTATGTTTTGCTTCTCAAATCCTATTTCGGTAAGTCGAAATTACGTTTCGATTTCACGCAAATAATCGGTATGCTTTTGTGAATATAATATGCACGTAATCGGTGTGAATTTCCCCAACAATCTTAAGATGAATTTTCTTATGCATATTATATTTTATTTGCAATCGAAATCAAGATACTGCATGAATGAAATCATAAGACAGAATTTTGACGTGTCATGATTCTGGTAAATATGTTCTATTACAGCATTTTAATTAGAAAAATTCATGTGTAATGATTATGTATATTATAACAGAATCGATAGTAATTCTATTACTTGAAATAATTCATTTATATGTTGAATTCATTACAATATATTTCGAATTGATTTGTGGACAAATAATCTGATATTATTCAATCTTGCATCATATAATATAGATTTCGGTTTTGACTCATTAGAAAAAAATTCTAATATTCAAATGTTAGAGTGAAAAATCTCAAATTGGTGCACCAGATTATATGATAATTAGTTGTGAAATTCATAATACATATGATATTCATGAACCGGTGCATACACGTTCGTGTATTGTATTTGTTGGTAGTCTCATCTATGAGTTTTATTTGTTGGCACTCTTTTAATCCAAAGTGTATTTATATTAAAAGATAATTTGTGTCAGAAGTTGCCTAAGAAATTTTGATTGGGAAGTTGGTAAAATCTTGTTAACTATTTGTAAACAAATAGTATGCATACTATATGGAAAAATGTATCTTTCCAAATTAAAAATAGTTTTTAATTTCTGAAATCTTGTGACCCATTTGAATTGTGTAGCATGAAATATCTGTCCAGATAATATATAAATGTAAACTGATTTGTAAAGTCAAATTGCACATGGACATTGTGAATTTTATAAGCTAACCATTGCGTTCATTCATGTTAAAACTACCTCAATTCAAAGTTATCAAGAAATAAATTTACTAAACCTGCGAAAGATGCGTGTTTGGATAATTTTAATTGTTCAAAGCATGTTGGCTTTGGTTTTGTCAAAATCTAGTAATGCTGAAATTTATAGTTTGTGCAGAAGTCCTTACTTTTAGTTTATACGTATGTCATCCAAATAACTTTTGTTCTCTCACTATGGCAAATCATTATGCGTTTGAATTTATTACTCGCATGAGAAGGCGTATTTTAACTGATAAATATGCCCACAACGATAATGACATGAGTATGCATTTATTTTAAGTAGGCAATTTTGTTGGGTATCTATATGATAATCATGTGAAGAGGATTAGTGTATTCATTTGATGAATCCATACAAGCGTTTGTATTTTGGATAGACCTTTTTGGTTAAAATGGTCTAGTTGGTTAATTTTCATATCTTGTTGAAATTATATTAACTTTGATTAATGTTGATAGCCTCATTTAATCCTATGGAATTAAGTGAGATGATTTAAGTGGATATAATTATTTAGCTATGAGAATTAAGCCACTTAATTATTATGAAATATTCTAGAATCAATTTAGATGAAAAGGTGCGTCATTTCATATGAAAAATCATGACTTAGAGGTATGTCTCTTCATAGAGATTAATCCAAGAGGTGTGTCCTTTTATAGGATTGTGTCTTTTGAGAACACAACTTTTCAACCGATGGTTGAAATAAAATTATCATGTGAAATGTCACAAATATGATAAGTTGCATATGTTTAAAGAGGTTGCAATGCTTAGCCCTCTTTATTGTTGAATTGACTTCAATCGTGAAACCAATTAAAATTGATTTATGCTTGGAAAGCATTGCTGGTCTATATGATGGCCTTGATTTCATTTGGATTATCAAATTAAAATAATTGGATTAAAATAAATTGCAAGTTGACGACTACTACTTTGAAAGTACTTAGACTTTCACGAAGCACTCGATACGGATATTATCTAAGAAATAAATGAATAGAACTATAAAAGAGTTGCTGAATTCTAAGTTCAAGTATAACCCAAGAATGTGGAGGGTTAAATTTAATGCTTGGAAAGTTCAAAACTTGTGAATGCAATATTACTAGATTGCATATGTATTCCTAATTGAGAAATTGTGGAGGTAACTCAATTTAACAGTTACATTTGCTTTTATCTTATAATCATAGAAAGATATCTATGTAGGCAAAAAGATAGAAAACCTTATAAGGATGATATACACTAAATCTAAAGTGGATTAAATGGGTAGAAGCTGATTATAGCGTTTGTTTAGACATGCAAGAATAATTGGAATATTTGAAGAATATTCATATAGTTCAAATGCATCGTAATGTTTCAATGATGATATTGAATATCCATGATTCTGAAATCCACTTGTAAACATAGTTGACTAGTGTAATAATTAGATAGAAATTCTCTAACAGTGTTTTTTGGAAATTGATAAAGCTTTAGATAAAGCTAATGAGACATGTAGCTTCATGAGAGGATTTCTTGGTGGCGATAATTTGTATCTATCAAATAAATTGATTATTGGCTAGCAATATTTGATAAGATACTAAGTCACATGTAATGGTAGGTCTAGATGTATAAGTCATAGATATAAATACCATTAAGCAGTTGATCTCAATGGTGTAAGCTTGTGGTACCTTTAAAGAGATTTGCTAAGAGAGATCAAGAATACTGCATATCGAAGGGAATGAGGTAAAGTCTACTACGTTAGAGTCCTTGTAATGGTAACCCTACCTTGTTGGCTGGAGATCCCAAGATCTTGATTCAAAGGGACAACTAAGTTATGAGAATTCCATGAAGCACTAAGGAAAATAGTTTCCTAACTCATTCCTATGATATTAAAGTGCTTTCTGCTGAGTTGTAAGATGTTAAGATAATCTTTTAATGATTCTCATATCTTAATTAAGTCAAGTGGAGTAGGGTAGAATACTCTTAGTAGGAGGTCACCTATGTAAATGTGAAGTGGGGCCGCTTCAATGAGAATTATTGAAGGTTTGAATTCTCTAAACACTTGCAGAACCAAGAAGGGTTCAGGGCCAAAATGAACAAAGTCATGAGAGCTATGAACGGTTTAGAAAAGACATCTGTGTGAGTATCGTTGTCTTGGCTTACACTAAATGTTGAATGGTTTAAGACATCATATTCACCAATTAGCCGTGTAAGTGCGATGGTATTTCACGAAGGGAGGTTCAAGGCCAGAAGCTACCTTCCCTGATGCAGTATTTTTTCGCACCCTCTCTACATTGCATCATATCATCGCATTTGCATATGCGTACCCAATTTCCATTCATGTGGGGGATTGTAGGAATTGGTTCAAATAATTAACCAAAAATTGGAAAATGAAAAGGTGTGTAAAAGTGAAAAATAAAAAGGTGTGACTACGTGTCAATTTCGACCACATATTCGGATTTGATCCAATGGTCAAATTACAAAAGTAAATATACCAACTTATTCTTCTCGCCGAGTAGATTGTCATGGTATATTTGGAATCTCGAAACCAATTCTGGATGAATGAAAAATTGCGGATCAAAGTTGAAAGAAATGAAGTGTTGCAATTCTTCGAAAGGATGCATGTTTTGACCCACACTACTTCATTTGCACCCTTTCTACATCTATAAATAGAACCCTATGGACATGATTTTGAGTACATCAATTGCATTGAGCATTCATTCTCCTCTTGCAATTCTCTCATTTCTAATTTTTTAGCATTTTCATGCATTTCCTTGGTAGAGAAGGAATTCCGTTCGAGTTCGCTGGTCGAAGTCATTTGGAGTGCTCCTATGGCTTGACGTGGTCGTTGTATCTTGGGAGATGATTGTCTAAAAATCGTTAGTACCGATGCGGGACAAATTCATCTTAAGGATCAAGTGTCAAACACTTGCCTCGACCAAAAATTCATCACTTGCATCTTTCTTCCTACATTTTTCTGATTTCTTTTGATTATATTTTGATTTCGGGAAATGATTAACATTGTTTACATTTTATGTTGCAAGGTTCGATCAAAAGAATAATTTGCTTTCGTTCAAGAATCGAAATGGATAAATCCATATCCATACATTCAGATTCAGTAACTTTTATGTTTTGCTTCTCAAATCCTATTTCGGTAAGTCGAAATTACGTTTCGACTTCACGCAAATAATCGGTATGTTTTTGTAAATATAATATGCATGTAATCGGTGTGAATCTCCCCAACAAATACTTAGAAAATAAAAATGTTGTAGGAATAGATTTAGTTCAGAAATAATTTAACTTGTACATTTCTTCTATAAAAATGAAATGTTTTCTCTGAAATCTTATAATTCTTTTACTTTTAGCTCACAGGCCACGTAATCGGTGTGAATTTCCCCAACAAATACTTAGAAAATAAAAATGTTGTAGGAATAGATTTAGTTCAGAAATAATTTAACTTGTACATTTCTTCTATAAAAATGAAATGTTTTCTCTGAAATCTTATAATTCTTTTACTTTCAGCTCACAGGCCTCCGGATTAGTTACATTTGCAGGTTACAGTCTGCATCAATTGGAGTTTAGGTCAAATTTTCCTTAAGTTTGTATTTCTTTTATTTCAATATGAATAAATACTCCACCTCGTGCTGCTTCGGATTAGAAAAAATAAAAAATAATGCATATATTCGGTGAATTGAATTTTTCCTAGGTACTTCAACATAAAAGACTTTTTATTCATACATCACTCGATACAAATCCTAAGCAAGTATAGAGTACAATCAAAAATAAAATTTATTTCAACAAACAACCTAAAAAAGAAAGGAACCCACGGTGGAGGGATGTGGGCTTTGCATGGCATCGATCTGAGCAGATGAATTTGTTATGGTCACGTGTTGGAGAGTTCTGATGATTCGCGAAATTTCTCATAAACGACATAAAGATTATACTCCAAAACAACACGTTCCTTGGCAGAATCTATGGAATAAGTACTCGAATTGGCATAGCCCCGCGCCATCTGGAAAACACCGGTGCCACCAACTATTGCCATTTGACGTTATTGATCCGAAATGGAATTTCTTCCCACCAAACACAGTGTGCTTCCGCTGTAAGTACCAGATGTGAATACCACAATGAGGTTCATAATCGGTGCCAATTCTTTGAAGTTCGCGAAAGTAACGAGGCCCTGAAGCCGTCCCAGTTTCGTTGAATTGGCTTCGGGCTTAGCTGTTATTAGGTCATCCGCAACTCTAACCAGACCAAATGATGTCGGGGAAGTGGAAGTGATATTGGCTCTTGCCACTTCCCAAACAGATTGATTGGGGCCACCTAATAAGTCTTGAACGTAAAAATGAAGTTTTGTTACTTTACGGGCATTGGCAAAAGCCACCAACGTGGCTATGATAAATGCACAAAGCATTGAAGTTTTGCTGAGCTTTCTCATGCTAACTTTCATTCTCTCTCAGTGAGCAAATAGTTGTCTATGAAAACCCTAATATATAGGGGAACTGCTGAGGAGAAAAAATGTAGAAAAGGACTGATTTGGAGCTACTACAAAAATCTTGTTTGTTTAGAGTATCTTGGCAAGTTTTTCTCATGGATCAGAACTTTAAAATATCCATTGGCAACAACTACATTTAGAATTAAAATTTTAGTGGGAGAAATTTCACTATAGAACAATTTTTTTCCATGCGTGCAAGATTTTCATTTATGTTACGTCCATGATTTTTACTAAGAGTATCTCTAAGAGATTCTATATTTCCAAAGAGCACATTCTTCGATTTAGATAGCATTTACAAATTCAGACAGTAAAAGATTTTAACTACTCCAATAGGCTCTTTATATTTAACGCATGATTTTACTACTCCCAGCAAATATTTGATATTTTTCCTTATTTTTTATTTTTATTAAATTCTCTCCAAATTATTATATTATTTTCATTCGTTGAAAATTGAAATACTTTAAATGTATTTAATTATAGAGAGTGGGTTTAACTCTCTAAATTTGAAGAGTTAAAAATGCCCTCTAAACAAAAATATTAATTATAAAGAGTTTTTTGAAGTATAATTTTAAAGGGTTGTGTTGACACATAAAAATTCAGCCCAAATTGAACGGCTCAAGGAGTAAAGCCCAATTGGAGGATCCCCAAATCAGATAGCCCAAAGAACGAAGTCCAATCGAACAAATTAAGGTGAAGGCCCAAATAAGGGGGCCCAAGAGTGCTGTAATGCCATCGCCCAAGTTTGCAAGTCGCCCAGAATCTGAACAAATAGAGTGTCATATGGTCGCCCAGAACTGTTATTCTATTCTCGCCCAAACCTTCAAGTCGCCCAATGTATCAACAAACATAACGCGTCGTGGTTATCAAGAAATGCAGTTATCAAGGCAGTTGTTAAAGCAGCCCTATCACGTTCCACGACTCAAGGAATTCAATCGAAAGCGGTTGAACGATGAAAGGTAATGGCAGCAGTTAAAATGCAGTTTTCATGATAAAATGGCCACTACGAAGAAAGTTGGTAGTTATAGGACGATCAAGCAGTTTTTAGAGCAGTTAATCACAAAGAGATCGTCTATGAAGTATAAAAGGGAGAAAGAACATAGAAGCAAAGGACCGAATCCAAAACTCTCGAACAGAGAACATGTAATTTTCATTTCCTTAGTTTTTAGACTTAAACAATTTTCTTTCAGTAACTCGTGTGCTTGCGCCCCTTGGAGGCACGTTGTTTTCCATTTCCAATTGTAAAGTTCATCGCCAATAAAAGAACACCCCTTTTTGGGACTTTGTCACAAGAGGTTTTGTCCCTTACACAATCGTCTGATCCTTTTTAATTGTTAGCGACTTAACCCGTGCGAAACAATTTGGCACGCCCGGTGGGATAGTGGTGTTAGGCGTTGAAAGTACAAAAGGAGAAACAATATGCCTCAGAGATCTGACAAGGAAAGAGCAAGTCAGGGAGGAATCTAGTCTGTAATCGAGCGATATGAGGAGCAGCATGCCTCTCCATGAACAGATGGACAAAATCAGAGCAGTAACAGTCGTTACGAACCAATGACGGAGTTGAGTCCTCGAACCATGCGTGCATTACTTGGAGAACTCACGCAAGACGTCGTTGAACAGGTAAATCTTCGAAGTATTCATAATATGGAAAGATTTACACAAAATGGAAATGCACACTATGACAATATGGCCAAACAGCTAAAAACGTTAAACGAAACAATGAATAAGTTAGTAGGCCAAATATGTCAACCGGCTATACCTCTTACAAACCACTTTCAAACCAGGACAATTGTGGGACATAATCCCTCTGTCCTAAATCCGAATCAAGGGGTAGAACCGCTTTCTGGTCCCTCTACTTCAAACCAAGGAGGTACTACA